ATTATATACCCCTAACCCCTATGGTTCTGGTCGTGCAATAACTACTCCCCACTAACATTAAGTACGGGTCGGAGTCGGAGTGTCTACATTAGGGGGGGGGTGCCCTCTAATATTGGGGGGAATTAAGAAGCTCGCCCAAGCCTGAGAGCCAACGACGGCGGCTGACGCTCCCAATCGTGCTGATCTCTCCGCCACCACTGCTGCCTGAGCCAGAAATCAGAAGGTCAGGGGCACCATGGGGGCCCCACAAACATAACTACCTTTCACTCACCCAAATTGCTCACATATGATGGTTATGTTGCACATCTCGCTACCAAAGCTACACACTTCTGGCTGTAAGGGGCAGTGTTCCCTCCCCCAACAACTTTTGGGCAATGGGGCGGCAATGGGATACGCTGAAGCAGAAGACCTGGCTTGCCTAATTTCCCTGCGCCACCCTCAAGGTGTTGACTATGCAACTGAACGTGGCACCGACAAAAGCAGTCACCGGTACGGTGTCCCAGAAAAACAAAGCGTAGCATCTACGTATCTCGCGCATGAGCTTTGGACACTATCCCGGGCTACCTTGTCTTTTCTAAGCAGTGTGGCGCATCCACTGAGCCCTGTTCTGCCACCTTTGCAAGCAGATTGTCTGCTTCTTGAGCACGGAGGCCTGTCTTGCTTGCTGTCATTTTGAGCGCGAAGTCTTCATGGAGGGTCGCAGGCTGTCCTGTAGGTATGGTGGCCTGCTTGGCTGCGAGCCACCTGAGAGCGAGTAGCCGAGACGAAGTTGGAGTCTCATAATGCTATGGGCTTTGAGGCCAGCGGCACATCTTGCGGTCCACCTCCATCTGCCGCCTGTGTTGGGCACGGACTTCCACTCAAAGGCCAAAGCATTCATGACCTAGAACACCAACTGTATGAGACCTTGCTGCAGATTGACGGTTTAATACGAGCATATCCGATTGTCCTCCATATGCTAAGACAGGTGCAGGAGTTTATCTTAGGCCCCTGGCCGTCTGGCTTGCTGCTGCCCTGGCTGCAATTTCCGCTGCAAGCTTGGGGCATCTCTCGGATGCAATGCCTCCAGACACATGACGAGGCCCTGAGACTGCCTCAAACCCGCAGGTGCACATGAGGCTTTGTTTGGGTAGCGAGCCTGAAGCGACAACTGCAGCCCAAACCTTGCGGCCTGAAGGGTGGCTTAGGGGTGCACCAAGCAAGCTGCACACCACGCATCACATGCGCACTACATGCGCCTGCTGCTTCTGCACTCAGCCCGCTGTTCAGGCTTTGCTGTGCAACCTCGGCTTCACTCAGGAAAGCCCTGAACACCTGCATCTGATTCTGCATCCACCGCTGGTGGAACCACGTGCACGACATGTAGTCGAGCTTGCTGAGTTTTCTCCTTATGTGCTCTGTGCCCCAGGTTTGTCTGGGCTCTTGGACTTGACTCGGTCACTGTAAGAGTTCTTGCTGGGATGCGTTTTTGAACAAGCGGTCAACGTGATCCAACAAGCCTGGTTTTATGGTGCGTTCTTCGCGCAGCTCAGACAGGCCAGCGGCCCTCGAATTCACGCGCTGGAGATTTTTCATGGCCAAGGCGCAGCTCTAGAAATCACGCGCCCGTGCACAGTTTCAAGTCATCGTTGCACGACTTTATCTCATACCTAGACTCCTAAGGGAAAACCCGCTACCCTTTTTCATTTTTCATGTATCACAGGAGGCATCTGCCCCACTCCGCAAACAGTCTAGGGACCAGGCTTCTTTGCCAGCTGCTGCAGCTACCAAATTAATGGCTCTGGAGTGCGACCTCAGAAATCGGACAACAGCAAACTGCAAATGCAAAGGCCTGCAATCATGAACTCACACACGCTGCACTGCCAAGCGTTGCTTCGTTTCTTAGGAGCTGACACTCCAGTGGCCAGCACTGCAGCCTGTCAGGCTTTGTACCCGGACGGAGGGAAGTCACTTGTGACTTCTCCAGAAGGGGGAATCACTAGCAACTTCTCAAACATGCGAATTTGCAAGCCGTCTAAACCCCAACACCTGAGGTCACTTGTGACTTCTCTGGGCTCAGCTCCCAAAAGGACTAGGAGTATGCATGTTATGAGGGGCACACACCTACAACCGTCAAGAGTCGAGGAATGACTGCTCTGAACACGATGACACTTATGCATTTTGCCGGTTTAGGCTTCAAGGAGGTTTTAGGATTAGGTTCACGATTTAGGGGTAGGTGTTTAAGGTTTTGGGAGTGATGGACTAGGCCTGAGCTGGGATGTTTCGAGGCCAATGTTCGCAGCATTTAAGGCTGGCGATGTTTCACAGGTGGAGAACGTTTTTCCAGTAAAGGGATGCATCAATATTTTCCCTGAAAACTGGCCCGGGCTGGGACATTGTCGGGGAGATTTTGGTTCACGGTAACTTTCAAACATAATGAATAAACAGTCCAAGGTCAGGGTTCACAGCTTAGGGTGAATGATGAAGAGATTATGGGCGAGGGGTTTAAAATTTAGGGTTTATAAAGTTTTCAGAGTTTATAGGGTTTTATGGTATGGGGTTGAGGGTCTTGGAATGCAGGATTTGGGTTTAGAGTTTGGGTTTAGGGTCTGGGGTCTAAGGCTGTTGCGTTAGGGTTCAGTGTTCCGGGGCCAGAGTTTAGGGTTTAAAGAGTAGGATTCATGGTTTAGGGTTGAGTGTTTGGGTCAGGCAGGTTTCTTTGTTAGCCCGTCCTTTTCCAAAGGGAGAGTTTAGGATTGAGGGTTTGGATGCCACGTTCAGGGCTAGGGTTTGACGTTCAAGCTCTATACGCTTACAAGCATCTAAGGTTCAGGGCTCGGGCAGGGTGCACCGTTTACGGGTAGAAGTTTGAGGGTTGGGGGGGTTACAAGGGTTTCTAGGGTGAGGGTTTGAGGGTTTAGGCTTCGCGGTCAAGCTTTAGGTTTAGGCCCGGGGTTTAGTGAGTGATTGGACTGAGGTCGGTAGGGACATGCAGGCGCCGCAGCTTCAACGATTTAGGGCTAATGTTTGCAATTTTGTCGGTCTTCAGATAAAGACCCTTTTGCCGGAAATAATTGCTTGAATATTGTACCTGAAAACTTGCCTCAGCTGGGATGCTGTCAAGCGTCGAGAAAATACAGCTCCGAAAACAACGTCAGTTCTGCATTTCGTGGTGACAAGATATGAGGAGTCACAAGCGACCCCTGGGAGAAGTCACAAGCAACCCCTCTGCCACCCGGACACCCCGCTGAACCTTGATACTTGCTTGACAAGTCATGTGCACAGAGGCTACCCGTCTCCAGCAGTGTGCCGTACACTCCCAGATGCTTTCCAGAGCTATAAGGGTTCTGCCTTCATCAGTGCAACCTGCTCCGTGATATTGCTAGTGCCCAAGAGATCAGCAGAAGCTGACGCTGCCGTGGCCACCTCATGGATCAACATGTGCAATCTACAGCACCATGGCTTAGTCTTGCTATCTGGCTGCTTCACTGCCAACCCTGATTTATTACCATTAAGCTGCCCGCTGTGTTCGCAGCAATATGCGCAGCTTGGACTATCTCGGCACAATGACCCACATCCACGGCAATGATTAGCTTGATTGGAGCCAAGCATGGTGCTGCAGGCTTCCATATTTCACGAACAGCTTTCCTTTCACGTCTCAAGCCTCGAGTCCTGATGATTGCGCCGCCATGGCGGCAAAGTAACCCACCTCAGGCAGCAAAGCGTCACCACCAGGTCACTACCGTCTTGTTCGGTGCGGAAAAAGCCCAATACATCCATCGCAGCTCGTGGCCTGGCCTGCTTGGGAGGCCTGCAGTCAGCTCATACAAGTTCAAAGAAAAGCCCTTCTGTCAATGTATGCTTCCAACATGTCCCAACAACCCAAGCCCCTAAGACACGTAAGTTTCTGGCTCGCCCCCACCACAGCTGACCTGGCAACTGTAATTGCTGCTTACAAAACCCAATGAGCTCGTCTTCCATCGTGCCTTGACGGCGCATAGGGCAGCAGCACGCGCTGCTTGGAAAGCCTGGGTGAGAGCACCAAGGACAAGAAGACAAGCCAGAAGGAGGAGGCGCGCGAGAGACTCACCCTCCTAGATCCTAGGGTGCCTGTCTAAGGCAACCTCAATACATCGTATCAGGTTCTTGCAACTTCTCGAGGCTCTCAAGCCGACAGCATTTTCTGTCCGCCGTCTACAGTCTGCATTTCTGCAATTGGTCAGACATCTCCTCGACGCTCGTCTCTTGCATTGAGCGCCTGCGCGACACAGCCGAAGACTCACAAGCGGCAGCCCCTCCGCTGGCAAAAGCAACACGAAAGATATTTGACTCGGAACGCTAAAGCAAAATCAGCACAAATCAACTTCAACAGACTCTTCACAGTTCCTGTGATCTCTGCAGGCTCTGTCTAGAGCAGCCTACATAGATGGCTTACAAGGTGTGCGGGCCTTTTTCGGTGCTAGGAGGGCTTACAGAGTTAGACTCCTAAAGTAAACATTTGTAAGCTTTGTGGGATTAGATATCTTGAGCAAAAGATCTGTAGCTGTTCCGTCTAGTGCCAAAGGCGCTGAACTATTCCGATTCCGGACCAAATGTCATTGCAATCTTGATTTACAAGTAATTCGTAACGGGTCCGAGTCCGAGTGCGACTGGTTTGGGCGACAGTGTTTGCAGCACGGCGATACATTGCCTGACAGTTTCATGTCTCGCTTGGGTGCAGGCGTATGCCCTCGACAGAAGGCCCCAGCATAAAGAGGCCCATGCGCGCTGTAATACATGGCCAAAGAGACGCATTGCTGGTGACAGTCTCTGCATCTTCAGTTCTACGGCCTCTGCTGTACAGTGAATTCGTACCGGCGCCGGAGGGCCGGATTCACAGCGCCGCAAGACTCACTGACTCGCATGTTAACGGGCCACAAATCAATACATCCAACGTTTCCAGCTCTAAAAGCAGCATACGTGGACCGAACGCATCAGAATTGAAATAGCGCGCTATAGGAGCTGTAAAGGGCTCATGACATTCACAACTTTGACTTGCCCTCTTTGCTTCCTCGTGATGCAATGAACTTCTTCATCTTGTCAAACAACTCTTTGCCCATGGCTTTGTAATACGCGAATGCCACGGACTGCTCATTAGAACAACCATCCTTGAAGCTCATTCCGTATCCATCATCTATTGTTCGCTTCAACATCTGCAGCATGGCGGGGTTCATCTTCGTCATCTCTGTTGCGAGACCGAGGCAGTGGGGCATCAGCTTGTCCGGAGGAACCACGGAGTTGACAAGTCCCCAAGCAGCGGCCTCATTGGCTTTGAGGAATCTGCCCGTGAAGTGAAGCTCCTTGGCTCTGCTTGGGCCCATAATTCTGGTGAGCTTCTGGCTCAAGCCCCAGGCTGGGGCAATGCCAAACTTAGCATGAGTGTCTGCGAACGAGGCGTTCTCGCTGGCAATCAAAATGTCACAGGCTAAAGCCAGCTCAAAGCCACCCGTTATGGCAAAGCCATTTACGGCGCAAATCACAGGCCACGGGAAACTTTCAATCTGCACACGCGGATCCTGCTCAGCTGGGGTCGGGAAGTAGCCGGTGAAAATCCCATCCGCCTTCATGAGATCGATGCCTGCAGAGAAAGCTTTCTGGCCTGATCCTGTGAGAATGACAGCCCGGACTGTCGTGTCGCTCCTGAGGCTCAGGAACACGGAGGCTATGTCGTTCAGCATGTCCATAGTGAGTGCATTTTGTGCTTCAGGGCGATTCAGCGTGATGACGTGGATGGCACCATCCACCTGGACAACAGAGGTAAGTTACTTATCGAACCCGAAGCGCGCCCGAAGGACACTTGCAAATGCATTTGTTTGACCTCTTCCTTATGTGCCACACTCTTGTTGCTGCTAGTCCCTGCGCCTATATATAATCTAGCAAGAAACATCCAGAAACACTTTGCCAGGCTGGGGTTGGGCTACAAAGTCGCTGTTCAACGCCTACAGGAAACGACACATGTACCCCGATGTGTAGGTCCTCTGCCCGTGAACCTTTGCCCGAGATATCCGAGATGAGATGCGAATACTCGGGGATGTGGATACTTGCCACTGCGCTTGTTTTCAGCAAGACTTCGAAGGTTGAGCAGCTGAAAGCCATACAAGCTAGAGTAGTCCCAGATTGATCTTCCCTGCTCGCCTGTTGACCTCGGAATGCCGATGCTATTCGCGCCGTTTGGGATGTCTGAAGCAATCTGCAAAACTCTGGGGTCACGGTCAGTCGTGGAAGGAGGCGTTGGCTGCAGCGTTTTCATATGGTCTGGCCTATGGTTTTTATTCGTGGTAGGACGGACAGACGTCATGGTCATTGGCAGGTGTCTTCCCATATGGACACCCGACGTATATGCTGACAAATTATCACAAATTCATATTCTTAAGGGACCCTGTATACGCGCAACTCAACTTGCGTTTCACGTGGCTGTTTAGCCCCTTGTCTCCAGGCCTGTCAGAAAGTCAGCTCGAATACGAGCTTGTGCTGAAGACTGAAGTCTGGAAAACCCTAGCAACAACTTAGATCCCTCAATTTTTGTCTCTCAAAGCAATGGAACCAAAATGAGCCAAAGGTGGATGGACATGACTGTACTCCTATGTCACCTTGCCTCAGTGGTATGAGCAATGAAGCTCGATGCTGACATGGCTTGGTGCAGCTCTCAGCTACAGATCAAGGCTTTGGACCCAACGGCTATGGCAACAGAAGCCTTGTGCGATGACAGCAGCATCTAGCAACGAATTAGTTCTTACATGTGCTGAAGAGATAGTCACTGCTCCACCGCAACAGCAAAGATATTGTCACAACATATCAAGCCGACCCATCCTGCTGGCAGCACTCATCATCGAACCCACATGAGCCGTTGCGACCTGTCAACGGGCAGTCCATCAACTTCAAAAGCCTCAGGAGTGATTGGCTGCTCGTACACACAATCCAGCCAAGGTGCAAATTAAATAAATCGCACCGCGCGCGACTCAACCCCGTGCTACCTTTCTCTCCATCTCAGCTTGGGCCCAGAGCTATGCAATTCGCGTGTACGGAGGGCACCCGGAATGGGGGGGTTGGCAGAACTGGTTGATGGTGCAGCGACTGCGCTGAGTGCTCGGCTGCCTGCTGCTTTGGGACGCCGAGTGTCTGAAGCGCGCGGAGAATTTCTTTGACTAAGTCCATGGGAGCTGTACCTCTACATTCTACATGCCAACTATGTGAGTCATGTTAGTACCCCCTTACTGTCACGAAACATCGGCCGAGGCACTCCCACCGCCGTCAAAAGCTAGCTGTGAAAAGGTGTCGACCTCCGCTAGTTTGTCTTCGTAGGTTTCCAAACTCTCACGCAAATATTTGCCTGTGGCATAGCTCAGCATTCGCGCGCATGCAGTCCAAGATGCAATGGCGTTGCTTGCGTACTTCACCATTTGCCTGTCCTTGAGTCCAAAGCCTGGATCATCCCTACATTTACACATCTACACGACATTGTGAGTCCGTACATCCCGTCAGTTACTTGCCGTCGCTGTGCGCACCTCTCAACGGTGCCAGGCTCAAATTCGCAACCTGGCAATTTCCGCTTGCACGAGTTGCACTCAATTACCTCAGGATGACTGGTCACATTTGCTTGTACAGAGTGATGACATGACTCCGTACGAGCAAGAGGGATGTGATGCCGTTTGTCACAGCTGAGTACACGTCTTTCTTTTGGGACATATGCCATTGCAGAACTTCCACGTCTGGGAAGTTGAGCAAGCAGGGAGAACCTCCTCCGGTGCCCGCAGCCGTTCGACACTGCGCAGAGCAGCACGCCGCGCAGCCTCGGACCTGTCAAGCAAAATTCCTCTTGCTTGACATCTTTCAACTGACTGAATTCTGGCTTTTGATCTGCCATGCAGATGCTACTCGTATCCCAGAAAAGCAGTACAGCTCAAGTGGCACGACTATTTGGAAGATAGTTGCCAGCTAGCTAAGAATTAGTCTGGATAAGAACAGTGGTGAAACCCTAGGCAACCTTTCATGCATGAGGACACTGTTCTGACTGAAGCAGTTAGCTTTGTCGGCAACACCTGCAGGCCCAAAAGCAAACCTGGGTTCTATTTGAATCACAAACTGCTGTCAGGTCGGGTGACGCCATTCTACGTTGCCCATACACATATCCTGTGTCAGCTGTTTTGGACGTCTCCAGCAAATGCATAATTGCAGCATCACCTGGACACCTCGAGTCATGCATGCAAGCCATTAACCAGACGGACACGAACAAAATACTCAAAACAGCGCCTTCTGCAGTCTGATGGGAAAAGCTTTCAGACAGACTCGAAAACGCGCCAGCGGTAACGCAAAGATGGAGATTGCCGAGGGAGCGCCCGCAGCCCTCGCAGCTATGGTGACCTGGGCATGATGCGAACGAAGGTACTGTCAAGACGCCTGCTTGCTCACGGCGGCAACCGTTTTGCTTAGAAGCTACAGGCTGCACAAGTTTGTCGCACGAATGCCTTTTGGCGCGCAGCCGCTGAATTAATCGTCGCTCTCGATGCCATCATCCTCGTCGATAGCTTCATCTGCTGCCACACATACCTGATTTTTCGGGTTGCTCATGGCTCAGTTGCTTCAGCACGAACGGTGCAGACCCTTGTGGCTAATATCGGCAGGGAACGCGCAAGAATGGATACTTGCGAACCTTAGCTCTGCGGACACGCTCAGAGCACCATGAACTTGGTTTTGCAGAAGTGCAGCTTTATCTGTTGGCGATGAGGACGTCGAGTACGGGTAGCGCTCGAACTCGTAGTGGCATCGCCGGCATGCCCAGCAAGGACCCAGGAAGCCGCACACCTGCCACTGAGACGTCCTCAACTTGTTTAGCTTGAAAGGATGCAAGACATTGGTGAACCCCAAGTTGCACAGCCTCGGTGAGGACCAGAGATCCTGCACCAAACGCTTGCCCGAAGTCGGGTGTCACATGGCCCCAGGTTATCTCCTGCAACCTATGACCTTACTATTTAAAGATGTATGGCACCTGTGTGAGGAACATTGAGCCCAACTACTTTGACAGCGTCAGGGTCCAGCCAAATTTCAGCCGCCTTGTAAATGTTGTAAGAAGCTACTGATTCTACACTGGACGAACATTTAGTCTATGCTTTGTTTGTGATTTGCTAAAAATTCTTGGAGTTCTCCAGGCGAGGACGCTCCACGCCTGGGCCGGATTTGCAGTCCATGGAGCCAAACAGTGAGGCTGCTCCACGCGACCGTGCGCTTCAGCAACAAAATGTGAGGACGCTTCTGCAAAAGCATGTTTCCGCGCCAAGCTGCGAGGATGCTCCAGACGAGAGCCTCCTTGTCGAGCCAGAAGTGACGATGATCCACACGAGAGCTTGATCTACGCATGATGCTTCTTGATAGAAGAGGCTGTACTTGGCACTCTGCTTTCGGAGCAGCTTCCGCGAGCCTTCCGCGAAGCCATCCCGTTCCGCGGACCTTCTGCGCCCGCAGTCCACAGTACCGTGCACTTGCCGGTGGCCGGCCCCAAGTCTTATATCTCCAAATAGTCATGAGAAGCATGCCGAAAAAAAACGCATGCTCAAAAGCCAAAAAGCCAAGCGATGGGAACTTGAAATAACCTGAACCAGACAGGCCATGGGACAAGCACATCTTATACATAACAGTCCGAAAACAATTCCAAAAAAATGAACACGCTTCCGGCACTTCCGACACACGTAGGGGAAGGCAGAGGATGCTCTTCTGGCATGAGTTTTGATTCTCATGAGGCGTCCCTCGTGATATAATGGCACCTTACCCTGAGCATCATCGGGCACAGCTGGGTAACCACCCTGTGCCCCCCTGCAGACTTTGTTCATGTCGTGATGTGACCCCTTCGACCATAAGGGTCTGCACGCACACACGCATCATTGCAACTACGATTCCCAGAGGGCACCAGGTCCAGGTCGCCTCCCGTACGAATAGCTTGTAACGTGCGTAGGGAAGCAGGTTTACAGACTGCGGTGGCTCTACGTCCTCGACGGTAGTGAGCTGTGAGTGGCTCACTGGGGAAGCCGTACACAATCGGTATGATGGCTCTCTCCGAACCACCTACAGCATGGCACATAGAGGGCACTGATATCAAGATACCAGCTCACAAAGTGCGTTTGTGAGATGCGTCTTTGAACTGTACCGTGCATTGTGCCGAGCCGCACCGAGGGCAAATTCTGCCCAACTCCTCAGAGAACTGAAGGGCAAAAGAGAAGCAAGGACCGCTCTTCATGTCCTGGCGCCATCGGTGCGTGAATCTCTGAAAAGCTGAAACCAGCTTTGGTTCCGCAGCACCTCCATATGCGGACTCTGCGCAACGCTGTGCCAAAAGTAGAAGTTTCTTAACGTCGCCTGAAGATGAGTGTTTGGCTCCATTCTCGCAACAAGCCTCATTGGTCAAGTCATCAGCTTGCTGCACCTGAGTTCAGCATGTTCAAGAGGCTAGGGCTCACTCAGGGTTCATGAAAACGCCAAAATTCAAGTTAACGGCCGCACCTCGCCGAATACAGTCCTTGGCTGAAAATCAGAAAGAAAAAAGTCAAAAAGCCTGCTACATCTCCCAACTCCTGCTTGCAACCAGGGCCGCATTATCTTGCGCATGCATGCCCTAAGCCTGCAGATCAGGCGTGAAACGACTGCAGCCATGTATCCGCAAGGCTCTCGTCCAGAACGCCTCGTCGCGCGCCACCCGGACATGAAGCTCGTGGGAAACGGCAAGCAGGGCTCTGCAGTCCGTTACCTGCAGGAAAAAGGCCGCCTTGGCTGTAGCTTGCTTGTGGGCTGGTTCAGACAATCAAGCATCCCACAAGAAGCGGCGTCTTAAAATGGGTTCGATGCCTTTGAACGTGGAAGCAACGTTCAACAAGTGGCGCCCCAACGTTTCAACATTGAAAAACATGTTTAGACATGTTTAAACGAAACCCGTCTCAAGAAAGTGTTTAAACATGTTTAAACATGGGCCGGACTTGTTTGAACAAAAACGTGTTTAAACAATGATCTTCCAACCATGTTTAAACCAAACATGTTTAAACAAGGGATCTCCCAAACATGTTTAAACGTGTTTGTGTTTAAACGGTTTAAGCTTTAAACGTGTTTAGCCCGACCCTGAAGAAGCCACCAGCAAGGCCAGTATTCGAAAAAAATGAGGCAACATGTCGACATAGGTATTCTGCCCAGGATTTCTCAGCTTAGCGAGGCGGCCGGGAAGAATGGTGGCTCCAGCTCCTGCCAGCCAGCCCCATGCTGCGGCTGCCTGCCGTCGTTACTCTGGTACACTGAAGGAGCCCGGCGTGGTATGGACCTCTCCAACTCGCAACTGACGTTGATAATTACCTATTGCCATTACTCATCATGGCATACACATTCACCATCCTCATCATATATCATCATCCTATGAGCAACTGGCGTTCTAACTAAGAGTGTCGGTGATACCAAAGCCACACAAGTTTAAGGCATTGTGCTCTCAAGCAAATAAGTCGGCCAAGGCTCAATGGTCGGGGGTCGAAGTCGAAAGGGAGCCCCAACGAACATGCTGAACGAAAGTAACCTGTGCTGCGCAGCCTGTGCTTGGTATACCATCTGCGTTTGTATTGCTATGCATTGTCTCATCAGCTTTCGTACCCGCTTCGAACCATGAAGTCGTCTAACACATAAAACAGTGCAACTTGCAAGCTGCAGGTATGCGGCCATTCGCAGCTTTTCTTGGGTCGTTGGAGAAGCGTTTAAGTTGATTCTCCAGCTGCTTTTCTGAGGCATGAGGACCAACAAGACCTTCCAGAAGCGGAGCTTTTGCAACTACCCTAGCCAAACCATCGTCAAATGGTTGCAGCTCCAGCGATAAAAGATACCTGATAGCAGCCACGAATCCGAATGCAGACACGTGACACATTCGTCTCGAAGGACCCGCGCCAGGGGCAACACAGTTCGCGGAACTTACATTCGGGGCCCTAAATTGGTGAATGACCCTCCTCTCTCCTCTCATGTCTCCTCTCTCGTCTTCTATGGGCTGTACTCACCCCTTACGAGGTACGTTGGGGTTGAACCCCATAGCCGCCGCAAGTCTGCGCTGATCAGTCGGAACTGGTGAGGATCGGAGTATTGCAAAATTGAAAGCCAAACCCAACACCATCTTCTTCTCCCCCTTCAAAACCCAATCCTCCCTTGTATTGTTTGGCTCTGAATTCAATCTTGTTCCCTGCTCTAGCCAGAAAACGCCTGATAGCCCGTTGCGCATCCATACACTTGACTTACCCAAGTAGCCACAACTCATTACGCCCCCTCTGGATGTTTCCGCGGGAATCTCTGCAGAGAAAATCCGCGTAGCTGAGGAAACCCATGCGAGTTCAGCTAGCTTGTACATCAACCGAATTCACCAAAAAATCCCCCACACTGGATTTGCATATGGTCCCCGCATCTTTAGGCTGTACGGTGGTTTTTGGAAGTGAAAAGGTACATCTTGGTTCTCATCATCTCTTACATTATGCGCACGATGCACACAGAGACTCCATGTACCTTGCAAGATGCATCTGTTTGACACGAACGACTAGCTGCTAGCTGATGCATGCTTCTTTCACAAATTCCCAAGGCAAAGTTCTTCCCAACTTCGCCCCGTGTCGAATTGATTTGGGTTCCCTCTTTACTCCCTGATTTACCTGCAGTGACAGGTCTGTCAGTCTGGATTGAAAACTTCCGTGGCCCTCCAGAATCACGTGTTCCGGGTTCCTCGGTTGTACGCTTAATTCTTCACTGTGCAGTTGGACGAATGCCTTACCTTTCTTTGCCTTTCTCGCGGCTCATGTATCGGGATTGCTAACCTCACAAAACACTTGCTATTTCTCTACCCCTTCCCTCACTGCCTTTCCTGACATCACTTTCCAAAAACCATTCCCTCATGACTCTACATGCCCCAGTGCGTCTGCAGACCAGTGATGCCGTTGTTGATTCTCCCAGGCTTCTGTGACTGTGGTAAAGGCGCCCAGCGAGCTCCATCTCCTCACCCGGTGTGACTGCAACATCATCCACAGCACCCAGTAGTGGATTTGGCCAACTTTCATTGTTGTCGTCTTGCCTGCCGTAACGGAGCGCCACTGCTCTGCTTCTGCCAGCACAGCGACCCCATGCTTGTCTTTGCCCTTCGGTTGTTTAGGCGATCCTGCCGGCTCCGCTGGTTTCGTATCTTGTGCAATTCCCACTGTTCCTGCGGATGTGCTTCTAGCCAAATGTCTTCGTCCGAGTCCGTCTCAATGGGCCCATTTAATCCCAACCTTTCGTCTGCCCCCATGAAGGTGGTTCTGGCACTGCTTTCCGCGAGTTCCGTCGGCGACTCCCTTCCCTCAAAAACACCTGCATTGGCCGGCTCAACTTTGTCTGTCCTTGTATAATCTTTCTTCATTGGTGATTGCAGGCCCGTGGCATGACCTGTGGCGTCTTGCTTCTTCTTGACTGGGTCACTTGTTCTCGCAGCAGCACTTCATCTGATCCTCTGAATTCGTCCACCTTCGCCGATGCTGGCAGGGGGACTCCTCTCCATGAACTCGTTCTGCGCAGTTCATTCTTGATTGGTTTGCTCTGCCCGCCGGTCGACTGCCATTGCAATGGGGATCCTGTCGAGAGCGCCTTCGGCTTTCCAGCTGCCTTTCGTTTCCCTTGCTCCACAACCTTTTTGATGGTCCTCTTCCATTGACTCTTCGATGGTTTGTTTTTTGGCTCCCACGTCAGAATCTCGCCCACCATGCGAGGGCTGTCAGGCTCTGGTTGCCGTGTGCCATGCACTGTTCGTTGCTCGTTCTTTGGGGCCCTTTCCTCTTTGCCAACCGTCCTCCTCTCCGGTGCTGCACCACTCGTCCGACTCCCTCTTTTCGTTAGGTCACCAGCGCTTACTGTTTGAGTCAATTGCTTCCACTTTCTTTCTGGCCGGGCTCTCCGGGTCAAAAAAGCGCTGGACGTACTGGACGTCGAAGATGAGGAAGAGCGGCTGTGAAGTTCTGTTCTGGAGCCCTTTTTTCCTCTGACTGCTCCCTTTTTGATGTGGCCTTTCTGCTTTCCACATTCACTGTTCTCGCCGTGGGCTTTCCCAGTGGATGCTCAATTTTCTCCGCCAAGTTGTTTCGACCTGTTGTCCCTCCAAGCGCCGCCCGTTTCATCTCTTGTATGCTGGAGTTGCAAGCATGAGCGTGCTTTTCGACAGCTTTCCCAAATTGCAGGCAACACAACGTTATATTTCCCTCCTTTCGGTCACTAGCAGCTTCTCCTGTAGCCTGTAGTGGCCGTGGCGAAAATGCGAGAATTCACAGTACTTTTCAATTATCTAGAGAGCGCGAAGAGCAAGATAAAAAGCACACCGAGCCACTAGGTGAGTGCGTGCGTGTGATGTCACTAGTAACTAGTGGCGCAGACAGATGCTTCCACAGCGAACTAGTGAAGCTAAGTTCTGAACAGCTTCTTTTTCTCAAGGTCTTTGCGGAGGTGGCTAATCTTCGTTTTCCCGAAACGGGACAGAACTCACCATCAGCCAGAGCACATATTCACACACCTAGAATATCTAACCGGCATTTCTGTTCAGTATCTTCTCCGAATACCCTGCGGAGGGGCTTCATGTGGTCCCAAGTCCCCTGAGACGCACGACCACTCGCCACACCACAGGCCACTCCCCAGAATGCAGTCAGGCCGGCGCCCAGCAACCCTCCCTGGAAAGAGGGAAGTGAGGCGGGAGACTTGAGCCAGAATGGCCACGGTCACTTCTTCTTCTCCAGGCTCTACCGACCCCTTACAGGTCGGCCGGCGCACTGCGCCAAGCCCGCGCGCGGTGTCTGTGGTCAGGTCGGGCACCGGCAGGTACAGGAATGACCAATTCAGTAGCAACACCGAAGAATAGCACATCTCGGTAGCTCCTCACCAACATATGCTGAATTGTCCATTCGCCCCCACGTCCGGCTGTGAGACTTATCCGCTCGAGGCTGAACCACTGCCCACAGGATCAACTGTTCTCCCCTCAAAGGCCTAGGCACACATACAAGGGACCTACTCTCCATGTTGGTACCCGGTCTCCATGTTTCCTCAGACAATGATGGACCTCAAGTCAAAAACAGAAATTGCAGCACCTACTTCTTTACATGGAGCGGGCTACGAAGGGTTGCACGTTTTGCAGGAAGGCCACGAAGAAGACGTATTCAAGCACACAACTTACACCTCTGCCCCGGAGAGGAAGACAGTAGTTCTTGTTACGAGGCTCTTTGTTTGCTTTTTGTCGCCCAGTGGCACACTAGGCTGGTGGCTACCCTGCCGTGCATTCTCAGTTTATTGTCAGGTGTATGGCTACAGTACAGGTTGAACGATAACAGTCAACCAGGAGCCCTGATCAGATTTCTAGCCCAGCCAGTCGGCTGATTCTTCCCGCTCCAGGTGCACCTTATTCCCAAGCATTTTCTCAGGATACGCTCATGGTGCTCTCCTCCCACCATAGAGAAACTACGTACTCAGGAAGACCAATTAGGGGGAACAAATTAACAACCAACCAGGAGTCCATCGATCCTCACACTAAACTCAAAAACGCCTCCATCGCTTGAACCCATTGTCCAGCCCCACTCGGCCCTCCTGCAAAACCTGTACAATTTCCTTTCCCTTCTCAGTAGTTGTCGTCCTGCGATTTCATTTTTTGCCATCGCTCTGCGACCATCATAAATTAGATGAGCTCCCAGACGAGGGTGTCCCAGGGTCGAATTGCTTGCATGGTCACGGTGTGGTTGATCGATACGTAAAAACTTCCGGGTCTCACTCAGCTGCTTTTGAGGTGGGATCTCCCGTATTCATGCCAAATTCTGCCACGATAGTCTCAATGTTCCTTGAATTGCTTGCATGGTCACGGTGTGGTTGATCGATACGTAAAACTTCCGGGTCTCACTCAGCTGCTTTTGAAGTGGGATCTCCCGTATTCATGCCCACGGTATAGTCTCAATGTTCTTTGAATTGCTTGCATGGTCACGGTGTGGTTGATCGATGCGTAAAAACTTCCGGGTCTCACTCAGCTGCTTTTGAAGTGGGATCTCCCGTATTCATGCCAAAGTCTGCCATTGTATAGTCTCAATGTTCTTCGTTGGTGCCCCACTTGGGCGTTGTAGCACTAAGTTTCGCAAAGTACGTAACATAGACATAGATATTTCAGACTATCCTCAATGTAGTTGCCGTAGCATGCCGTAGCCAATTTTCTCAAGCCGCAGTTGCTGTCTTCCAGGTATACGGGACGTTTCTTCTTTCTCCAGCTGCAGTTGTAATCTTGCGCCCTCATCCCGTGGAGCGAAAAACTTTTGGCGTCCCATGGCACCACACTACACTTCCTTGACTTTAACCCAAATAAATTCCCAACCCTACTAAAACGGCAAAACCGAACCCCACAAAGCGCAAATGAAGATCTCAAGGCCTCCAATCAAGATAGACCAGATAACCACAAGCCCTAGAACGGATTCTTGCAGTCAGAGGCTTCAGGGCTGCCCCTGCCCCTGTCTTGGAAATGGCAGCGGCGTGCGCTCAAGCCGCAACATGACGTCCACCCTCCGCAGGGGCGGGGCCGACTCCCCACCCCCACAGAGGGCCGCACGAGCGAATGCCCCCACAGGGGACCGTGGCCACTCTCTCTCTCTCTGACTCTCTCTCTTTCTATTGTCTCCCTCTCCTCTCCTACACTCCTCCCCTCTCCCCTCTCTCCTCCTCTCTCCTCTCCTCTTTAGCCTCCACGCTACCCCTCTCCTCCCTCCACTTTCCTCTCCACCTCTGCAAAAGCGACAACAGTGAAGGCAGTTAACAGGATCGCGACCGTCAGGGGCCCCAGCCCCGGGACTGTCGGCACTTTGGACAAGCGATGAAGTTGGGAGGGTCCAAAAGCAGCGACGGTTACAGGGATTGCGAGCCCCCGTTGGCACTTTTCACACAAGACAAGAAGACGACACTTTCGCGGATCGCGCCCCATCCCGGAGACTTTTGGCACTTTTGACACATGACAAGAACACGAGGGTTCAAAAGTGATTAGCCTAACACGGATCGGGCCCCATGCCTGTGACTGTTGCCACTTTTAAGACGCGACGCGCGACGAAAACACAAGGGCCCAAGAGTGACCACAGTTACAGGGATCGCGACCCTTAGGGCCCGCATTCATGTGACCGTCGACCCGTTTGCCACACGTATGTCCAAAGTAACGACACTCACACGGATCGCGACCCTTGGGGCCTCCAGCCGGATCGCGACACTCCTGCGACAATCGCGGACGCTTGGACGCTTGGCGAACAGAGAAGCAACGATTTTTGGTCACCTCCTGGACCCTTGGACCCCA